ACCCTTTTTGGCCCTGCCCCTCAGCCCCCTGGGGGGTCAGCCACACCATTTGTACAATTTTAAATCCCTGCCTCTCAGGAATGCTTTTGATCAAATATGATTGATATCCAGTGCACAGTTCTACAGGAGAAGTCGTTTGTGGCAATATAGCAAAATTGCCCCCTTTTTGCCCCGCCCCTCAGCCCCCTGGGGAGTCAGCCCAAACATTTGTTCAATTTTTAATCACCACCACCTAGGGATGCTTCCAGTCAAATATGTTTGATATCCACTTCTTAGTTCCAGAGAAGAAGTCGCTTAAAGCAATATGGGCAAATTGACCCCTTTTGGCCCCACCCCTCAGCCCCACCATTTGTACAATTTTGAATCCCTACCACCTAGGGATGCTTCCAGTCAAATTTAGTTTAATTCCAACCAGTGGTTAAGAAGAAGTCGTTTAAAGAAATTGTTGACGTACGGACGGACAGACGGACGACGGACGCCACAGTATGGCATAAGCTCACCTTGGTCCTTCAGACCAGGTGAGCTAATAAATCAATTTAATTTTACAAACTTGGTAGCCTTGCACACTACTGTCCACATATCATCCTGGGCCTTTTGGATATTCAAAAGAAGCCATTAAAATATTCTAAACATATTTGACCTACGACCTTAAATATTAGTCAATGTCATTCATTTTTATAAACTTGGTTGCCCTGCATCCAAGCATAAAGCTGGCAAAATTACATTATTGGCCTCACCGTTATTCTTCAGAGGTTTGTTTAAAAAAATTAATCATATTTGACCCATGTGTACTTGAACATGGGTTAGGGCCATTGATTTGAACAACTTTTGTATATGCAGTTACCTACCCTTGATTTCGTTTTAGATATAAGTATAGCTCAGTCGGTTAGAGCGAAAGAATAACAATCCAATGTCTAGGGTTCAAAGCCGGCATATATTGTACACTCGGAACTCTTTGGTCTATTTTATCTTTATTTACTTTTTTCATTTACGTCCTGCAAGATTTCGTTGACTTTTCAGAAATAATTCACCACTGCTATTGTGCTATTGTCATGCCGGAAAAACAGTTTCTAATGCTGGTTAAAGTTTTTGGGAATACATGTGTGGGTATCTTTTAAGTATAGTTTGTATTTGAGTTATCTCCCTTTAAATTCCTAACTCAACAAATGTCTAAATATGAGTAAAATGCTGTCATCAATAAAAACGTTCATTTTTCTTACATTAGTACAAAACCCTTGATGTGAATATACAGGTGACAATTTGGTAGCTTGTGAAATTTAGACAAACTTCCTATGTACCATAAAATCATTTATCAACGTGTATTTTTTTTTTTAAGAAAAATGGGAACCTCACAATGGCTGAAATTTGATAGATGCAATTTAGCATGGTTCAGACATTATGTGTTCAACAGCATTAACTTCAAGCAGCTTATGTTAAGATTCCAGTTGAAATTAAGTGGTAATCACCAATCTCCCTATACCTCTTAAAGACTTGAGCAAGACTAGTACTATAACTACTACATGTGCACCACAAAACCTGTTGGTCTGCTACAAGCAGTATTAGCCATCCTTAAGAGTTCATATTCTTGAAAGTCGAGAGACAAATCTATTCAAGCACCTGTGAGTGAATCACTTCTTTTTTGAGAGAGGTATATATATTTCAACATAATTCATTCAGGGACAAATGCAAAAAAATGGCATGATTTGCAGTGCTCGACAGATTTCGATTTTGTCTGCGTAATCTTTGTGCGATGCTCATTACACACAACACAGACAATCCTCTCCCTACTTTTGACTTTATTCAGTTGTATTTACAAGAAAAAAGTCGATTGTAGCACACATCCCATCACTCAGAAGTTCCTGAAAATGGAAAAACAAATTATGAATTACAAAGTAAAATAGGGGTAAATATTCACATACATCTACTACAAAATGCTCTACATTTTACTGTGTACAGCTCAGTAGGTAACTATTTTCATGTTTCAGTGATAAAGACATATAAAACACTGAATTTGTGATTTCCAGGTGGCTATTGTGTATAATAAAGGGAACTGTTCTTATCCGATTTATCTATTTTTAAATATTTCACGAGTAACATTATCCTGCCCGGACATCACAACCTGAAATAAGGTGGCGAAGCAGTCCCTACTCATCAATTTATACACTGTCTACACCATTGCATTCTTCGCACACAAGTCTTCATTTTACATGCAAGTACATGTCAAAAATATGGAAACTGAACAGTTCTTGTCACTTGTTTAGTAGCTATACCCTGCAGTTACAATTTTGAAAGCTTACAATATTTGACAGCTAGTGTGATTTGGCTAGTCTGATTTAACATGTGTTCCATGTTTCCCTCCCTACCCCCAACCAAACACTGGACAACTGCTTCAGTCTACTTCCAAGTCCTGACTTCACAGTACTTACTTAGTAAGGATGCTGTCCTTCTTGGCCAACCTGTTGATGGAGTCATCAGACTCTCCCTAAAAAGAAAAAGAAAAACATTTGTGAAAATGTGAATATGTACAACATTCCCCTAAAAATATCAAATATAGCTAAGTTTAAGGAGGATTGCAAGATTAAATTCATGCAGCATGGGGAATTTTGATAAAACTATAATTACAAAAGTACTTTGAATAATAACATGGTACAGTTATCAAGAAAATAAGGAAAATATCTTGACCATGCTGCTAACTTAACTGCCTAGGGAGAACTTATACTAACATGCATGTTTTATCATAAGAGTTCAAATGATTTAAAATGTTAGTTACAGAGCTAGGCTTGCATAAAAATGTAGTTTTATAGTCATTTTTAATTTAATTTAATTTTACTTTAACAGTTTTTTCAAAGAGTTTTAGAAATAATTTATTTTTTAATAATAATTTTACTGAATATATAAAATTAAATAATCCTTTTAGTTTGGTATATTTTGTACGCTAATGTTATGATGTTTGACTCAGTTTCTTAATACATGTGCCATTATCAATGGACATATATTATAATAAACACTAGAGAATAGATTTTTTTGGTCATGGGTAGGGTCATTTTTTTGTATGTCAATTAGTTCATATAAAACTTTTTTTGCGACTATGGGGGCAGTTTGGGTCCCCCATTACAATTAGTAATTGTTTAGATATAGTTTACTTTTGCATATTAATTAACATACAACACACAAATCACATGGAAATAATTCGCATAGTCGAGAGATACATCAGGAAATGACACTATGGCATAAAACACCTTCATACTAAATTTGAGTGAAATCGAACAATTTCGACCAATCTGAAGCCGTCATGATGTTAGTATGGCAACGAAACCTATGCAGTTTAATTTGCAGTTCCCTAATACCCCTATATACCAATTTTCATTAAAAAAAAAACAAGATAGAAATTTCGACCAATCAGAAGCCTGTGTGGTTGCTATATAGTTACTATGGCAACAAAACCTATGCAGTCCCCTAATACACATATCTACCAATTTTCATAAAAATCAAACAATATCTAAATTTCGACCAATTAGAAGCCTCTGTGTGGTTGCTATGAGGTTGCTATAGCAACAAAACCTATGCGGTTGAATTCGCAGTTCCCTTATACCACTATATACCAATTTCATCAAAATCAAACAATATCTACCCCATAGTCGCAAAGATGCATCAGAAAATGATCGCAATGCCTTCATACACCTACATACTAAATTTAAGCGAAATTGAACAATTTCTAAATTGCAACCAATTAGAAGAAGCCTCTGTGTGGTTTTTATGGCAGTGAAAGTATGCGATTGAATTTGCAGTCCTTTAATACCCCTATATATCGATTGTCATCAAAATCGAACACTACCTAAATTTCGACCAATCAGAAGCATCCATGTGGTTGATATGGCAACATAACCTATGTGATTAAATTAGCAGTCCCCTAATACCCCTGTAAACCAATTTTCACAAAAATCAAACAATATCTGAATTACGACCAATCAGAAGCCAGTATATGGCAGCCATTTTGTCTAATTAGAAAACGAATGTCATGGTTGAGTTCGAGGTACCATCATACACCTACATGCCAAATTTGGAATGCATTGGAAAATATCTATAAAACATGGAAAATAGGATAAGTGACATTGGCTATCTTTAGCGAACACCTTGAGAATTTAAATTCCCAAAAATTTCAAAAATTCATGGCGGCCATTTTGTTGACGATGTACAGGCAGCGGGCCAAAATGACCAGTTCAGATCTCATATTTATAAAAGCTGGCCGGTAGAATTGGTCAAATGGAAGTTACTGAAAAGCCTGGTTACAGAGGAATAATCCCCATTAATATTTTATGTCACAATATCTGATATGACATGTCATCATGCGTAAGTGCCAATCTTGTACTTTTTAGACATTCAGATTTGTGTCAGTTGGTATATGGAGTGGTCATTGATAAGCAAGTACTGTAGTACATAATTATATAAGCATGTTATACTTGGCTGTGGCGAAAGTCAACCATACATTAAATTGATCTCAAATTTCCATAATTGCAAAGCGTCTTCAAGATTGACCTTTTTCTAAAGTTGACATCAATGTACCCAAAATAGCCTAGTTCTCAACATGGAACACTTGTTGGAAAGTGGCCAAAGAATTCGGAATTGGCACGGCAATTCAAACAAACATTTGTATGCCTGTAGTTTTAACTTCAGGATACTTTTACATCAAATTAAAATGTATATCAGCTTTATTGGCTGTTCCTTATGGTCAGATGGATATTTTGTTAATAATTTATTTAAATGTAACTTTCTTCCTTTACATGCCATGCAATGCTAGCTATATATGGATATCATTTGCAGATGCTTACTCTTTTTCAAGGCTTATCCAAGTTTGGAGAAGATAATTACCGGTTTTCAGAACATCCCTAAAATAGTTGAACCATGTGCAAGTTTCTTGCTTATATTAATCATTTATCCCCATATTAGCCAAAAAACTAAAGTGTCTATTTTAGGGTACAGTTATATTTACCTGTTCAAGAGTTTATATGACCCTAACAGTATTTTGTATTTTATCTAGAGAACCATGTGCCAGAAATATCAACTTGTAATAGAAAGTGGATGATATCTATTTATGAACAAGAGCTGTCGGAGAACAGCATAGCTCTCCTATGTATGTTATTATAATACTGCAACTATCAATAGAAACACATTAGCATTTACTGGAATACTGTGAAGGGCCGTCAAACAGCATCAACTCCACATGTAGAGTAAAACGTTGATATAGTGCCTGTCATTTTATTTGACACCTCACTTACCACTAGGATATTTCAAGGACTGTTAAATGTGAAGAAACATCTATGTAAAGTGATTGTTAAGAAATTAAATAAGTCCAATAAAGCTGTTTTTGGATGCGGAAATATAAAAATATGGTTCAACACATTGCTTACACTCAATACAAATACTTCAACCTTATAATAGACAACAGCCTATTGATGGTGGTGGTCCAACACTACCCAACAAAACTTGCCCAAAAACTTTAACCTCAAGCTTACCCCAAAACATTAATTAAGTCCAATGAAGCTGTTTTTGGGCCATAAAATATTAAAATATGGTCCAGCACATTGCTTACACTCGATATAAATGACCTAAAATCATAATAGACAACTGTGTATTGAGTGTGATGATCCAACACTGTCTGCAAAAAACTTGCCTAAAAACTTTAACGTTTGAAGGTTTCCGGACGCTGACGCCGGGGTGACTACATTAGCCCCCCTATCTTTCGAATAGGCGAGCTAAAAATGAACTTACATTTTGGCATTTTATTATGGTGTAAAAACCATCAATGTTTCATTGAAAAGTGTCCTGTTTGGGTTACACTTGACAGTACAGTCCTTTATCTATTCTTGTTAATTGCCGTCCAAGCATACCCAATTTGAATGCGATTAATGATACCATAAGTATACAACATGAAAGTTTTAGTGCTGTACTTCTTTCAAAACTTCAGAATCAGCACCAAAAGTCAAAATCATATAAAGCTTCGTGTATAATAAATTGTTTTCTTCATAGAAGATTAAATTTACCTAACTGGTTTTGTCAAGAAAAAGCCATACATTTGAGTGCTTGACTATGTTTATATCCTGTTGAACTTTGCCTCCACATTTTGAGATCTCACTGTAACTAAGCAACACAGTATCCTACATTTAATTCTGTACTGGTAATTGGTAGTGTGCTTCCTCTAGAAAAGGGAAGTGTTCTTTTTTCTACCCCCCAAAAAACAAACTTTTGTATTTCCCACAAGGAATCAGTCTTTTATACACCGTTCTTATGGACTGGTAGTACATTTTAAAAACTTCAATGTAAAGCCCTTTATTTTGTTTAGCATCTAACTTACTTCTAGCGTCAGTTACAAGCTATTTGTATTGAAATTTCTTCAATCTTTCTCAATAAATTGCAAATCTTGAAAACTTATTGTGTCGCCTGCTCAGCACTTTTAGTGAGGAAAGTGTTCGGGCTTGAGTAATCTCGTAAACAAACAAAAATTAACGACAAAAATGATGAACAGCATTGCTATGTCAAGTGTGATATGCCAAAACGCTTCAAATGAAACTCGGCAGAAAACCCTGTAATATATGTTGAATAGTATTGCTTCTAGCATAACCATACAAAATTACTTCACCAAAAATTCATGTAGACTTCTGGAATGCGAAGTTGTCCGAGTTACATTGGTATGCAATATGTGTACCAAGTTTGAGTTCAATCAACCCAAGGGAACTCAATTTTCGCATGGAAACCTTTTTTCGGACGACGCCACCGACAAAGTAATACCTATATGTCGTCTCGCGTTGCAGGCGACACAAAAACGATTTGTTGTATAACAAGAGGGTTGACATATTACTCCGGGCTTCCTGAAAGGATAACCGTCAGTGCTGAGTCTTCAACTTACCATCCTCCTGATTGTGCCACAGATGGCGTAGGTTGTGTTTGTACCAGTCATACGTCCAGTGGTCTCGTCAACCTGACAAAACAACACCATACATGTCATGTGTGTGAATACAGTTACACAATCTTTTATCCAGTTTTTCCTTTCGGCAGATCCATATGAAATCATTTAGAGGGTCTCCTTGCATCATTTGACTGATACAGTGCAGATGGGATCATTTTTTAAATAGGAAAACAATATATATATAACCTTTCTACAATATATGAATTTGGTTTTAGATACAAAGGAAAGATGGAAGCCTACATACTGAAGTGTATAAAGTATCATGTTTACATGAAATACAAATACCGGTCAGAAGTGTCTTGAAAACAAAAAGATTTCATATTTTTTTTGGACCTTTACTAAATGTCCATTGAATTTCTAGACACATCCTATACTTACATCAGCAATGCCAAATGTTTTAAACTATTATTGAATTTCTAGACCCATCCTATACTAACATCAGCAATGCCAAATGTTTTAAACCATTATTCAATTTCTAGACACATCTTATACTTACATCAGCAATGTTCAGCTGGATAGAAGCATGGTCTTTAGCAGCAATAATTCTGTTACTGGCAGAACTGTAACATATGTTATATTAAAGTTAAGAATAAACTACTATTATATATTTATATAACACAAGCGTAATGTATCAAGGCTTTGATTAATGCTCAAATGCATGCTGTAAACAGTATGGTAATTCCAAATTTTCATCTATATACTACTTTATACCACCTACCCATAGCAGATAAGAAGTTTAGAACGACTTGGGAACGTAAGGAAGTTACAAAAACATAATGTGAGGATAGCAACATTTAAAGCGTAAAAGTGCAGATGGAAAAGCCATTGATGATAAGATAGTTTTAACAAACAAGAGGCCCAGGGGCCTTAATAGCTCACCTGGTATTTTATTTTTCAATTTAAAACCTGCTGAGTACCATTCAGGTTTATCAAAGGAGAACAAGAAACAAAGTTTCAAGAAGAACTACATATAAATCTGTTCTGGTGGGAAAGACACCAAGAAAATGAGTTTCCATGTTATGTCCCAATTTCCCTCTATTTCCCCTATAGGGCCTCACATGCACCTTTTATACAAATCAAACAAATCGAGTTTTTTCCCCCCCAAGCATGCTTCAGACCACATATTTAAATCCCTTCATTTGTACAGAAGGGAAAATATTTTTCTCTTTTTCCCCTATTGGGCCCAGCTCCTCTGCCTGGTTTGAGGGGGGGCACATCTTCCATTTATAAATATTCAATTCCCTTTGCCCAAAGATTCTCTAGAACAAGTTTGGTTAGGTTAAAATCCCTTCAACGGTACAGAAGGAGAAGGATCTTTAATGTTTTTCTCTGTTTTCACTAATGGGTCCACTCATCTGCCCCAAAGAAGGGGGTCCACACACCTCAGTTTAAACAAAATGGATTCTTTTGTCCCTAAGCATGCTTCAGACTGCGTTTGATTTAAATCCCTTCACTTGTATAGTAGGAGAAAAAAAATATCCTCTTTTTCCCCTATTGGGCCCCGCCCTTATGCCCTCACAGGGGCCACACCCTTCGTTTATACAAAATTGAGGCTCCTTTGTCCAAAGATGCTCTAGAACAAATTTGTTCAAAATCCTTCTATTGGTCGAGAAGAAGAGTTTTAAAGATTTACCTATTTTCCCCCTATTTGGCCCCGCCCCTCTGCCCCCAGGGGGACCATACAAAACTGTTTATACAAAACTGAGAACCCTTTGGCTAATGATGCTCCAGACCAAATTTGGTCAAAATCCCTTCTTCGGTACAAAAGGAGAAGGATCTTTGATGTTTTCCTCTATTTCCCCTAATGGGCCCCACACACCTCAATTTATACAAAATTGATTCTTTTGTCCCTAAGCATGCTTCAGACTGCATTTGGTTTAAACCCTTTCACTTGTATAGCAGGAGGAAAAAAAAACTCTATTCCCCCTATTGGGCACTGCCCCTCCGCCCCCAGAGGGGCCACACCCCCCGTTTATACAAACTTTAGCTCCTTTGTACAAAGATGCTCTAGGACAAATTTGGTCAAAATCCTTCTATTGGTTGAGAAGAAAAAGATTTTTAAAAATTTACCTATTTTCCCCCAGGGGGACCATACCCACCATTTATACAAAACTGAGAACCCTTTGGCCAATGATGCTCCAGATCAAATTTGGTCCAAATCCTCTGAGCCGTTCAGGACTAGTAGCGTTTTGAAGGAAAAAGTTGACGGACGACGAACGCTGCGGCATGGGAAAAGCTCACTTGGCCCTTCGTGCCAGGTGAGCTAAAATTATTTGACCTAGTTTTAAGGTTCATGGTATTCTTCCACACAAATCTTCTATTTGTTTACGTTTGTCACAGACCAATTTGAGATTGATTACCAATGAGGCTAGACATCATTTGGAAAATAGTAAATACAGTGTTTGGTTGACTTTTTATTAATGGAGATATATAAAAGGATCGCACTATGTTTTCAGGGTTTGTCAGGAGAAATTTTTTCTCATCGCGAGCAATTGGATAAAATCTCAAGTCCACCTCGTGGTAATGGTGGCCTTTCAATTTTAACCACACGCTCACAATGAGAAAATTGTTCTTATGACAAACCCCCTGAAAATGTTGACCATCAATGACATCATGTTCGTAGATTTTCTTAAAGACTAGTCCTGAACATAATTTTTTTCAAAATTTGATGGCCCCCATTATAAAGAAATATAGGGAGTCCTCAAAAAGTTAAAGATTCTCACATGAAGCTTCAAATATCAGATTCCCAAATGTCACTTGTTGAAGCCACAAAAGCTTTGTAAGAAGATACCACAGATAGATTATATAATTACTTGAATGGGATATATCAAATGTTAAGACCATGATTGTGTGCTTATAGTTTTATATTATATCACAATTCGAGGACAGTACTTTGATATCGTGGCGATTGGCAGCGATCAAAATCAAAATGTTTTAGTAGTACTCATTAAATACCCCCCCCCCCCCCTTCATATACATGTATAGTCAAAGTCGGCAGTTTGAAAACAGTGTATTTGCTAACCCTTATGGTAAGACCTCTAACCGTTTATATATCTGTGTATCTAAAGATAAGTGCTTGCCAATAAAAACGATTATTTGAAGTGATCCAAGCCGTGACAAGCCCTTGTGTATGGATGGTACCAGTTCGATTAAAATTTGAGCGCGTCGAAATTACCATTTCCTTGGGATGTACATATCCACGAACTCTCCACCTTCGTTCTGCATGCTGATTTGGTGGTTGATAACCTGGAATAAACAACGAAACAAATAGAACAGTGACGAAAGGCAACTTTATTCTTAAAATTGTCTCAGATCTCTATGATATGTTACCTCGCGAGCAAATGGCGAATGAAAAAGGAAGCACATGTTTCTGTACCACAATGCATCAGTGTGGGTGATGGGAGTTAACTCTATCAACACGTTAAAGTTTGGCTGCATGTTACAATAATGAGATGTTTCTAGTAAGCAGAGACGTATAATACATGTATTATACGTCTCTGTAGTAAGTGGATGTGTGTGATACAGGACAGATCGTACAGAAATAAAAAGAAGCATTTGATAAATGTAATGTTGCAATTCTGGATCTGCCTCTGATATATAATATACAATATTAACCATTAACGTCTTATTATTAATATACTTATAGAATATAAAGGGTGCCTTGCACCTATTGATTCACTTAAGACAGAAAGGTATTTGAAATTGCCAAGATTGAGATGTGTCCAGAAGTCATAACTCAGTATAAAACAAAAGGAAAGTGTGTAGTGAATTTAGTTTAAACAATATTTATTGACGAATAAGGTAGTACAATAAATCAAAAGTATGCAAGATGATTTGGTAACAAGCTGAGCTTATGTAAAACCATCTCCTAATTAGTGATGGATATAGATATATAGTAGAGTGATCCTGGTTATACAGATCAAGGAATGCTGGTGTCAACCAATAATGTTACTGTCCAAGTACTGATCCTGTTTTTCATAAGTACATACAAATGTAAACGTACAACAATAATGATATACAATGTGCCACGTACACAGTATAGGTATAGACGAGGGTAAATGCAGCTCATGTCATATTTTTACACAAGTATAAGAGGTAAACCTAGTGAAGGTACATTGTAAGTATACATTGTACGTTAATTTTCACTTATCATGCGCCAATGCCCCTGATGCTCCCTTGTCGGCCCTGAAGCCCCTCCGATTACCCCTAGATCGGCCCTGAAGCCCCTCCGATGACCCCTACATCGGCCCTGAAGCCCCTCCATTGACTCCTAGATCGGCGGCAACTACTTGCGGTGGATACAGCATTTTAGTAAAAAGAGGGGGGTGGGGGGGGGGGGGGGTTTTTTAACGCCTTTTGAACCCCCTNGAACCGCCTGTCTACCCGAAAGCACGCTGTTCAGCGTTTTGTCCCTAACAACCATTAGAATATTTACGTTCTTACAGATACAGTCTTGTATCATTGTATTGTATAATTATTATGTAATTAGTAATATGTGCCAGCCTCGTGAATTTAATCTTATTTTAATTTTTATGTCACCTAAGAAATGGGGTAAGTATTGTGATCACCTTATGGATACCTCTCGATTTACTTGTTGAAATCAACCTGAGGACGTTCTTAATTACTTCTTTTCTCGTCCTCTCTATAATCATCTACGTCATTATCTATTTTTAATTGGCTACATTTCAGGTAATATGTTGACTAAAGGTCGTCATTTACTCTCCATTGATGATAATCAATTCATAATAGATAATGTATCTACGTACATCCTTAAAAGGCTGATGTAGTTATTACTGTTAGCAAGTTACATTATGTCTGTATTACTGTTAGCAAGTTACATTATGTCTGTATTACTGTTAGCAAGTTACATTATGTCTGTATTACTGTTAGCAAGTTACATTATGTCTGTATTACTGTTAGCAAGTTACATTATGTCTGTATTACTGTTAGCAAGTTACATTATGTCTGTATTACTGTTAGCAAGTTACATTATGTCTGTATAACTGTTAGCAAGTTACATTATGTCTGGATTACTCTTAGCAAGTAACATTATGTCTGTATTACTCTTAGCTAGCTACACATGATATCTTAATACCAATGTTGAGCTACACAGACTCCTTGTACATCTGACAGCTTTTTTTAATTACATCTATATAACATCCTATTGTAAATTAATCCAGTTTTACTTACATCTGAGGCTATTTATAGATGCTAGTATCTTTTATAGTTGTGTGATTATATTTATGTCTATTTAGAGTTGTGTGAGAGGTGTATGTTTATCGTTGTTAGCTATAGTTAGATCGATAATACATATGGTCTATAATGGTTTATATCATTATAGGTATATATAATGCTTACATGATGAGTATCTATAAGGGTGTGAGTGGAGTTATGTTAAGAATGTATTGTGTGTATTTAGGAAAGTGAATTTATGTGTAATTGATATTAGTTTAAACTTTTTTTTAATTTCAGTTCAAGCATGTTATTACAATGAACAGAGAAGACAGAGAGAAATAGGAACAAGTGTCACAGACACTTATGTAAACCTATCACCAAGTATACTAAACAGCAACTAATATATTCAGTACGTGATAACACCATTCATACACACAACACACGCATATATATATACCAATAATTAATGGATATAACAATAACTTAAACTTCCTTAGAGTAAGGTGGTTGGGGTAAGATATATATTGTACAAGTTTACATGTCATATTATTCAGTTTTAGAAAATCTGCCAGTTTTAAGTATATAATTTTGTACAGCTAGAAATGTCAACTTATTTTCAGCCAATGAAAACGAATCATCTCCAAATAATAATAACTCCAAAGTAATATTATGGGGCAAACCTTGTAGGTAGCGTCTTCTTATTTGATCGTACCTGTTACATTCCAATAAAAAATGTGTATTGTCTTCGACTTCACCACACATGCATAATGGAGATGGAGCAGTATTTTTAGCAAATAAATCACCATTTTAGGAACAACACTCCATTCGTAGTCCTGCGTGGCACCGTGAAGTTAGCACCGGATTCGTTTTTCGTTTTTTTGTTATTCGAATAACGAATAACGAGTTTTCCCGTTATTCGTTATTCAATTTTGTTTTTTCGTTATTCAAATTGCAAATAAGGTACAGCAGTGCTTTTGGATATCCAGTTAACGATTATAACACATCAAGGCCAAATGGGGCAGTGTTTGGGTGTATGAGTTCGAAAAACGAAAAACGAATAACGAGTTTTCCCGTTATTCGTTATTCAATTTTTTTTTGGTTTTCAAATACCAATTAAGAATCATTAGTGTTTTTTGGATATCCAGATAACGACTCTAACACGCCAAGGTCAATTACGGCAGTGTTTTAGCGCATGAGCTCGAAAAACGAAAAACGAAAAACGAATAACGAGTTTTCCCGTTATTCGTTATTAATTTATTTTTTTCGTTATTCAAATAGCAAATAAGGTACAGCAGTGCTTTTGGATATCCAGTTACCGATTATAACACACCAAGGCCAAATTGGGCAGTGTTTAGGTGTATGAGTTCGAAAAACGAAAAACGAATAACGAGTTGTCCCGTTATTCGTTATTAATTTATTTTTTTCGTTATTCAAATAGCAAATAAGGTACCGCAGGGCTTTTGGATATCCAGTTAACGATTATAACACACCAAGGCCAAATGGGGCAGTGTTTAGGTGTATGAGTTCGATATATCTGGCCCTTGATTGATACAGAACAGTTGTGTCACGGGAAGTATGAGTGTATGTTTGTAATTGATACTGAACAGTTGTGTCACGGGAAGTATGAGTGTCTGTTTGTAATTGATCCTGAACAGTTGTGTCACGGGAAGTATGACTGGGTATGTTTGTAATTGATACTGAACAGTATTGTCACGGGAAGTATGACTGTGTATGTTTATAATTGATGCTGAACAATTGTGTCACGGGAAGGATGATAGTATATGTTTGTAATTGATACTGAACAGTTGGGTCACGAGAAGTATGACTGTGTATGTGTGTAATTGATACTGAACAGTTGTGCCACGGGAAGTATGACTGTGTATGTGTGTAATTGATACTGAACAGTTGTGTCACGAGAAGTATGACTGTGTATGTTTGTAATTGATACTGAACAGTAGTGTCACGGGAAGTATGACTGTGTATGTTTATAATTGATACTGAACAATTGTGTCACGGGAAGTATGATAGTATATGTTTGTAATTGATACTGAACAGTTGTGTCACGGGAAGTATGACTGTGTATGTGTGTCATTGTTATACCTTTTCATATGTTAATTTTCTATCGATCCGGGTACAGTTTCTCAAACCTCAATTAATTTAACAATTCGAATCACTATTTTCAAAATTAGATATCAAGCAAACGATTTTTTAAAATTCTTTACCCTAAATTTAGGCGACAATAAGTTTATAAAGTTTTAAAGCTAATCTTTATGTTTGTTACAAATTCATGTACATTCTTTACAGTTAAATGGCGGCGCAAATTTTAAAATTTTGTTTTCCGAAAATGTTCCGAAAAGTTCAAAATCCAGATGTGAAAATAATTGAAAATTCCACGTCTTCGTGTCTCTTCCTGACAAAAAAATAAACAACCGATAAGTAGATCATTGGTGGATATAACTTTCATTCTCACTTATCATGCGCCATTACATATACCGTATAAGTGGGAAATGAACTTTGCATTGTGAACAGTTTGTTATTTTTTTCTCAAAAAGTAACATGTGTAGGATAATAAACCGAAAGGGTTCTGTTTACTATTCACCAGTTTTGAAAACAGAAGTGTCCATTTCCAACAGGTCATTGTCAGTAAAACAGAAACGTGATCCAGTACTTCTTCAAAACAAGATATTTTTCTTCTTCAAATTTACCATATTCGCGCATCCAAGATTGACCGTATCATAAAAACAGACATTTCTGCAACAAATGCTTACACATTTTTTTAATGTATATGATAATAGTCATTTGGTCTCGAACGGAAAAAATTCAAAACCAATGTATTCAAAAACAATATTTATTTCATTCTTTGAACTTCAAACTTGTTAACACTTTGCATGGGTTAAGTTTTAGAAAAGTATTTACGTTCTTCAGCAACACAACAAAGATACTACCTCGCCTGTATCTCTTTAAAGTTGAGAATTACATTGTAACGTATGTTACCTTGCTAGCCAGAGATACAAATCAAATTTTACAGCATCTTCAATCGAAAAGGTACAATGTATGTTATTTGTACTTATTTCGATTAGCTACTATTATTTTGATCTATACTTGAGAAGATTTTTTTTTATTATGGTATGTTGCATTAAAACAAGGATATGATTTGTTCTCGTAACGTATCTGTTCACACAATTCGAACAAGTAACTTTATAACAAACG